CACCAATATCATAACCATCATCACCATCGTCATCGTTACCGCCATCAGCACCACCATGTCGTACACAATCACGCATGCTATCGAAACCCCTTATAATCGCACCCGCGCTTATCGACACCATTCATCATCATCCTCATCGCTCATCTTCACAATACACACGCATATACTCACGTTGAGGGAAATCTCGAGCAGAACCCCCCTCCGCATGGGGCCCGCATTTCATGTCCGAATACGAGCGGGGGCCTCGTTTGTGAGTGATTTGCGAATGAGTTTTAAGCGGGAGCCCCTTTGCACGTGGGGCCCGCAATCCATGTTCGAATCCGGACGGGTCATCGGTAACATCTACCACGCAACACACTTGAGCACAACATAGGGGGCAAATCGTGAGGATGTTTCGAGCGGCGGCCTCGTTTGTGAATGGGTTGCATGCGAGGAAGTCTCAGGCGGGAGCCCCCTGCCCATGGGACCGACACGTCATGTCCGAATCCGAAAGGATCGAATCCGAGCGGGTCGTCGGGCACATCTGCCAGGCATAGCACTTGAGCGCCCCAAGAAAACAAAGCGTGAGGAATTCTCGAGCAGGGCCTTCGTCTGCGAGTACATTGCGAGGAGGTCTCAGGCGGGAGACCCCTCCCTTATGGGGCCCGCACGTCATGTTGGTAATCCGAGCGGGCCGTCGGCAAATTATACAAGGCATAGCACTTGAGGGGACAAATGGGAGGCCCGCGTGTCCAGGCATAGCACCTGTGCACCCAAGGGGGCCAATCGCGAGGATGTTCCAAGCGGGGCCACCTTTTCCTATGGGGCCCGCACTCCATGTTGGTGGTTGGGCTCCTCTGGACTGAACTTGCCCTCCCCAGTGGGTCCCCACCTCCACGTTGGAATCCGAACGGGGTCATCAAATCCTGTAACGGCGTCATGTTTGTTGCTTCCCATGCTTGACTCTGGAGGATGTATCGAGCGGGAGTACTCGGAGAACCTCAGAAGGTCACAGGCATACTCGGGAGGCTTCATGAAAACCACAGGAAGCTCCAGGAGTCACCAGGAGGCACCAAGAGGCACCAGAGGCCGCAGGAGGGCTTAGGGCGACCATGAAACTGTAAGAAGCTCCAGGGATTCTCCAGGAGGCCCACGGAGGTCCCAGGAGCATCCCCGGGCCCCAAGAGGTTCTGGGAGGCCCCAGAACCCTCCAGGAGGCCCCAGGAGGCTCCCCAGGAGGCTCCAGGTGAGGACCCAGGAGGCAGGAGGCCCAAGGAGGAGGCCGGGGCAAGAGGAAAAGGAGGCCAGGCTCCAGGAGCCCCCGGAGGCTCCAGGTGGCAACGGGAGGCCCAAAGAGGCCCGAGGAGGAGGCATGCGGCTCAAGGGGGATGCAGGAGGCTATGGAAATAGGTCGGACGAGGACGGGGATGAGGACGAGGACAAGGAGAAGGAGGAGGAGGAGCATGTCGGAGCATCAGCGAAAGTCGTGCCCGAAGGGGACACCAAGACGAAAAAGCGCGCTTGGACAAAACAAGAGCTCGACGCCGGCCCACTTGCGGCAACCTTCCCCGAGGTAGTGTCTCGCTTCCGGTGGTGCTGGTGTGAACGCAAAACCCTCCTCTCCTCCCTGGCGGTTGTGCCCTTGGGTGCCAAAGTGCCCCGCCTGCAATGCTGCGGTGGTCAGACTGCGAGTGCAAACGATCATACTGCGAGTGGTCGGCTTGTGTATGTTTGTGTGTGTGTGTGTTTGTGAGTCTGAGTATGACTTGGCTGGGTACGGCTGGATCTGAATGGGAGTGGCCTGTGTATAAATGCGTTTGATAAGGAGCAAGTCTGGGCAGCAGCGTATCTGAGTGAGAATCAGTCTGCGTTTCAGTGGATCTGGCTGTGAGTAAATCTGAATGAAAGTGAGTCAGAGTATGAGTGATCTGAATGTGAACTGAGTGTTCTGACTGCGAGTGAGTCTGAGTGTACGTGTGAGTGGGTATGGTTGATCTGAATGTGATGAGAGGGAGCGTGAAGGCGGGAAGGAAACAGAGACGTCACACGAATAGCAATACCACCATGCTTCCGAGATGATATAAGTGATACGTTCCAAACAATTCGAATACTGACCTCCTTCACCAACTCCCTCTCCTCTCTCCCAAGGAGGAACCCCATCCTGGCAGAATTCGTTTGTGAATTGACGACGGCACTGGGAGAGCCAACGCAAGATCAACGACACGCCGTCGTGGGGAACCCATCAGCGTGTTCTTCAAGGGTTCGGGACGACAGCGAAGGAGCAACATGCTGGCAGGCTCACAACGACAGCGTGTCACCGATGTCCTTGTTTCCTCCGAGACTCACGCCAAAGGACTCGCAAAACGAACTTTGCTGCGATGACTTCTTTTTGCCCCCCCCACCGCGGACACACAGCTCCCCCAAGGAGAGCCGGCATCCTTCGGGTTCCCACCTGCCCCTCTGCCAGCGAGATGTGGGCGTCCGTCAGGTGCAGGATGCGCCACCTGTTGGATGAGGAGAAGGAGGGAGCAGGAACAGGAACAGGCTGCCCCACACAGCGGTACAGATGGGGATGAGGGGAGGGGGACTGGGCCAAGGAGGACGGAGGACCGAGGGTGAGAAGGAGAAGGAACAGCAGAGGGATCAGAAGGAGCAGAAGAAAACGCTGAGCAGAGGGAGGACGATCGAGAAGGATGGATGCGGATGCGGATGCGAATGGAGGATGAGGACACGCACGCGCACTGCATACTGAGACTGGGTCCGCCCATCATGGCCCGCTTACACACATGGCCAGAGACACTCGGACGCGAGCGGAGGAGACGGATGCTGGAAAAAGAAGTCAGCATACATTGTAACTTCTGGATGTTCGCTCGATCGGCGCTGGACAACCTCCCTGGAGCGCACCAGCGGCGGCGCTGGAGGCGCTGACGGGTGGTGGTGGTCCAGCGCCGATCCAAGATACCGCGCGTTGTGCCGCTTCTACTTTTAGTCACGAGCACTATCACTGATAGTATCATTCGCATTCTTCTCCGTAGAGAGAGAGAGTGAGAGAGAGAGAGAGCGAGAGAGAAAGAGAACAAGAGGGAGAGAGAGATACAGAGAGAGAGAGAGATATAACAAGCAAAAAGGGATGTAAACAAACAAAGGAGGGATCAGTGTTGGTGTACCCCTGACGCCCTCACAAGCGGCCAGGCGCGTGTGGAGCCCAGGCCGAGCTGGGGTCCGGGGGCGCCTCGACGACACGTTGGCTGCGCCCTCGCTGGTCCTGGCCGCGACAGGTGCGGACACCGAGCCTTTCTCGTCGACGTCGCCGTCGCCGCGGCCGCCGCCGTCGCAGTCGTCCTCCTGGTCCCTTGTCCCGCTTCCTCGACCTTCCCCCTTCCTCTTACTCATTCTCCTCCACCTGATTATCCTCCGTCCTTTTCGCTCTGCTCGGGCTGGTGCTCGCTGGAACCGTAGTGTCTGCCTTCTCACTCATCCTTCTCCTCCTCATCCTCCACCTGCTCCACCTTCCTTCCCCCGTATCTCGTATACATGCCGAGGTGCGGTTGCCCGTTGAAGGCATTGGGGTCCTCTGCCTCCTCCTCCTCCTCCTCTCCCTCCTGCTCCTCCTCTCTTACCGGGGCAAATTGAAACAACGACAACTCAGAATTGGTCACTGGACGCCCCCCGTGGTCCAAACGCACCACATCTCCCAGCTGCGTCCGGCTTTGGCGACGAGGGGGTCCCCCCGAAGGCCAATTGCTGTTGTCTCAGCTGGCCCTCCTCTGAATAAGCATGCCGAGGCGCGGTTGCTGCTCCAAGGCCTCGGGGTCCTCCTCCTCTTCCACCTTCTCCTCCACCTCCTCCTTTTCATCCTGCCCCTCCGGTTGACCAGGGACCGACCGCCCTGGTTTTCCGATAGGTGGCCACGATATGTTAAAATGTTGAGAACAACAGAAGGTTCTAGTAACGACACCGGTGCTCTTAGAACATGAAAGCCGACGTATCAAAACAAGACGCTGTGGAGACGGCGAGGCAGAAGGACCTGTCTGCTGCGCTTGACGACCACTGCCATGAGCCCATCTTCGAGAACCTCGGGGCGACCGACCGCGCGGACATCCCGCCCGAGATGCTCCCCGGCGCGTTGGGCTTCCTGGAGGTCGCTCTTCGAACCAGAAGAGTTCCTCACCGAGCTGCAGACGCGGCTTTTGCTCCAGGTCTATGACACGAAGGATTTCTGCCCTTGCTGCGATGAGCCTTGCGACCGGCACGGGCGCCACTCTGGCCTCTGCGCTGGCGCGGGAGACCGGGTGTGCCGGCACAACGCCGCGCGCAACCTGGTAGGGCGATTCGCCGCCGCAGCCGACTGCAACCCAGAGCTGGAGAGGGCCTTCGGCCGTCGCCCCGCCGACGTGTACATCCCGAGCTGGCACCTAAGCACGCCTGCCGCCTTCGACTTCGCGGTTTCCTCGCCGCAACGGCAGGCTGCCAGGGGGCTGGCTTTCCAAGGAATTGGACACGCCGCAAGCACGTACGAAGTGGTCAAGCGCACCCACCTCGACACGGAGGTCCTCTGCAGGCAAGAAAGGATTATCGTCATTGGAATCTTCATCCCTTTGGCCGCAGACCCTGCGGGCGGCTGGGGCCCGACGGGGGCCGAGACGCTCCGCCGCCTAGCAAGGACCAGTGACGCGCGCCTGGGCGAGGAGCCGGGCGCAGGAGCGACGCGTCTCTTCCAGCACCTGTCGGTGGCTATCCGGAGGGCTTCCGCCCGCGCCGTCCTCCGGCGGCACCTGGAGGAATTCCCTGCCGGGGGAGCGGCCGCAGCTGCGCGGGTCGTCCTCGCCGAGGAAAACGAAGGTTTGCGCCCTTTTTCCTCCCTCCTCCTTCCTCCGAAAGGTGTTTTGTTCCCAACCATCCTGTGGTGTTGGGTCCTCGTTTTGAAGAGACGGTGCCCCGCGTTCCTCTCCTCTCCTCTCCTCTCCTCTCCTCTCCTCTCCTCTCCTCTCCTCGCCTCTCCTCTCCTCCTCTCCTCCCCTCCTCTCCTCCTCTCCTCTTCACCCACCCAGTACACCGTTTCGTGGCTCCATAGGGAGCTCCACCGAAGGCCCCAGTGCCCGCGCCCGCATGCGTCACCCACACGCATTTCGGCACACCCCTCACACGTTTCGTGGCTCCATAGGGAGCTCCACCGAAGGCCCCAGTGCCCGCGCCCGCATGCGTCACCCACACTCATTTCGGCACACCCCTCACACGTTTCGTGGCTCCATAGGGAGCTCCACCGAAGGCCCCAGTGCCCGCGCCCGCATGCGTCACCCACACCCACTTCGGCACACCCCTCACACGTTTCGTGGCTCCATAGGGAGCTCCACCGAAGGCCCCAGTGCCCGCGCCCGCATGCGTCACGGCTTTCGGCACACCCCTCACACGTTTCGTGGCTCCATAGGGAGCTCCACCGAAGGCCCCAGTGCCCGCGCCCGCATGCGTCCCCCACACCCATTTCGGCACACCCCTCACACGTTTCGTGGCTCCGCCGAAGGCCCAGTGCCCGCGCCCGCATGCGTCACCCCAACCATTTTCGGCACACCACTCCACGCTTTCGTGGCTCCATAGGGAGCTCCGCCGAAGGGCCCCAGTGCCCGCGCCCGCATGCGTCACCCACACCCATTTCGGCACACCCCTCACACGTTTCGTGGCTCCATAGGGAACTCCACCGAAGGCCCCAGTGCTGCCGCCCGCATGCGTCACCCACATCCAATTCGGCACACCCCTCACACGTTTCGTGGCCCCATAGGAGCTCCGCCGAAGGCCCCAGTGCTGCCGCCTGCATGCGTCACCCACACACAATTCGGCACACCCCTCACACGTTTCGTGGCCCCATAGTAGAAGCTCCGCCGAAGGCCCCAGTGCCCGCGCCCGCATGCGTCAGCCACACCCATTTCGGCACACCCCTCACACGCTTCGTGGCTCCATAGGGAGCTCCACCGAAAGGCCCCAGTGCCCGCGCCCGCATGCGTCACCCACACCCATTTCGGCACACCCCTCACACGTTTCGTGGCTCCATAGGGAGCTCCACCGAAGGCCCCAGTGCCCGCGCCCGCATGCGTCACCCACACCCATTTCGGCACACCCCTCACACGTTTCGTGGCCCCATAGGGAGCTCCACCGAAGGCCCAGTGGCGGCGCTCACATGCGCATGCGTCCCGCGCACCCATTTCGGCACATCCCTGACAGGTTTCGTGGCCCCATCATCCACCGGAGGCCCCAGTGGCGGCGCTCACATGCGTCACCCACACCCACCCAATTCGGCACACCCCTCACACGTTTCGTGGCCCCATAGGGAGCTCCACCGAAGGCCCCAGCGGCCGCGCTCACATGCGTCCCCGCCACCCATCCCGGCACGCCCCTCACAACAACAGGTTTCGTGGCCCCATGGGGAGCTCCACCGAAGGCCCCAGTGCTGCCGCCCGCATGCGTCACCACCCGCACCCAATTCGGCACACCCCTCACACGTTTCGTGGCCCCATAGAGAGCTGCACCGAAGGCCCCAGTGGCGGCGCTCACATGCGTCCCCGCCACACATCCCAGTACACCCCTCACGCGCTTCGTGGCCCCATAGGGAGCTCCACCGAAGGCCCCAGTAGCGGCGCTTACATGCGTCTCCGCCACCCATCCCGGCCCCCCCCCCGCAGCAGCATCATGTTTCGGGGACCCATAGGGAGCTCCACTGGAGGCCCCAGTGGCGGCCCGCACATGCGTTTCCGCCACCCATGTCGGCACGCCCCGCGCGTGTTTCATGTCCCCATAGGGAGCTTCGCCGAATGCCCCAGTGGCACCCATCTCGGCACACCCCTCACACGTTCCGTAATCCTATGGGGAGTTCCATTGAAGATGAAACCCGCAGCTGCGGTACTGACAACTGCATATGGTTGGGTTCTTCGCCAGGCTAATTTTTTGGCTGTTATTTACAATGTGATTCACCCTGCCGCCGGAAGTTCGGGCAGCTAGTGCTTGCACTTTGAGTTATTTCGCTTACAACGATCCTTTCTACTGTCGTCTTCTTCGTTCGTCGTCGTCGTCCGTCGTTCGTCTCTTCCGTTCCTCTCGCCATTCCCGCTCCTCCTCCGCCGTTGGCGTCTCTTCCGCACCTCGGGGGGCTGTACCTTGGGGCGGGTTGGTGAACGGTGCGCTCCCTGCTACCGCTTGCGGAAGTTGGGGCGTGCGCCGATCGCCTCTCGTTGCTTGGCATGACCCCCTGCTCGCCCTTGTGCCCCTCGGGGCCTCCCCCGTCGTCGCTGATTGGTGATGGATCGACACGCGCCAGATCGGCATTGACGGCGTCACCCTGATAAGGATCAGCTTTCGTTTCTCGACTTTAAGGGGTTCTGCCGGTGGCGGAAATGGTGGCGCCCCTCGGGAGGCCGAAAAACGACGTAGCGCCACCCAGCTGGATTCCCATGGGGGCGACACAGGCGCTTATATATATATATATATATATATATATATACATATACCTATACATATATAAAATAATAATAA